CAGAATTTTTCATATGAAAATTTCTTGCATGTGTTCAGCCTTATAAGTGTGTACAAATGGTTCATGCACATAGCCTGTCTTGATTACAGTTGCTAAAACATGAAGCACAGCAATGAATTTGTAGTGTCTGGACCCAGGGACATTTCCTTTGACAACTGTCATGGATACACTGGAAAGTGGAGTGATTCCCTTTGTTTCTTTTCTACCCTAACTGTGCTGTGTTTTGGTCATGTCTCCATGAGTACTTCTACCTCATGCAGAGTGCTTTATATGGTGGAAGAAATTACTTTCAGATCCTTAAAGGGGGAGGAATGGAAGAGATTAAGAGGCTTGGAGGTACAACATATGAGTTACTTTTCTCATCTCTGTGATAAGATACCTTGCTGAAGCAATGTAAATGTGGGAAGCTTCATCTGGGTCGACAGTTTAAGAGGAGTCCAGTCCATCCTGGTGGGAAGGGAGGTGGCAAGAGCAGTTTATATCTGGGGGTAGGAGTTGCTCCCGTCTGGGTGTATGAGAAAGCAGAGAGAAAGCCAGAGCTGGGGTCACACTACAAATCCTAAGTCTGTCTTCCCAATGGCCCCTTTCTTTGAGCCAGGCTCCATCTCCTAAAGGTCCTACAACCTCCTTGAACAGAGCCACCACCTGAGGGGCAAGTATTCAAAGACATGATCCTATGAGGGACATTTCACATTCAAAGCCTAACAGGGAGAGAGACAGAGAGATAGAGAGAAAGGCAGAAAGAGTCAGAACCAGAGAGAGGCAGAGACACAGAGTCATAGAGACCAGTTAATAAGATGTTTTATATTTATTCACTTCAATTTGTCTAAAAGAGAAAAAGAAATTAGGTGAGCCTCTTTAGACAACCCAGTTCCTTAATATACCACACCATAAGGACATATTTAAAGATTAAAAAAAAAAAACAAAAACAAAACCCACTTCACCACCTTTTTCCAAAACATGTATTGTGCTGTAGCTTTAGGAGTCAAATGAAGACAAAATAGTTGTTCCTAAATATCCGTAGATGTGTATTTGTAAATTTATAGCCTTTCTTCTGGCTCTTCAGTGTGCCCTATGCACACCACATACTTTCCTGGCTGATCATGGCCGTTTTCCAACAGCAGGAACTTGTCAGTACTGGCTACAGTGTGGGGCAATTGCCAGCACAAACATGGCAGTTCCTCTTTGTTCTCTGCTCTCAAAGGCCAGCCAGTGTGGGACAAGCACCACAATCCAGGTGATGATGCTTTCATTCCATCGCCTCTGTGGCTGACAGAATAGAATCTGCTTCCCCCCCGGAGGGGAACCACAGGGATTCACAGGCACAGGGCTTCTCTAAAGGATGCTATCACAATTCAGGGCACTCTTTAGAATGACAGTAACACTTCTGACATTGCCTGCCATGGACAGAGCAGAGAGGAATATGGATTTGGCTGTTTCTGTTCTATTTGTGAATTCCATATACTGTCAATAAAATAAAATGTGTGTGTGTGTGTGTGTGTGTGTGTGTGTGTGTGTGTGTACTTGCATCAGTTTTAACTTTCAAGTTATCAGTCATATATGACCTCGTGTTTCCAAATTCTTAAACTTTTGGTCATTAAACTAAATGTCATCTATATCAGTGCTGTGGAATAATCCTTCTTTACCCTGTGTGAGTATATGTCAATATGATTGATTTAATAAACAAGCTGACTGGTCAATAGCTGGATAGGATAAAGCTGGGCAGGAAAGCCAAACTGAGAATGATGGGATGAGGAAGGGTAGAGTCAGAGGAGTCACCAGCCAGCCAGAGAATGATGTGGACACACAAAATAGGGATAGAAGTAAATGCCACGAGCCTTGGGCAGCACATAGATTAATAGAAATGGGTTAAGTTGTAAGAGCTAGCTAGTAATAAGCCTGAGCTACCAACCAAGCATTAGTAATTAATATATGCCTCAGTGTTGGTTATCTGAGAATAGCTGCAGGACAGGAAAACTCTGCCTACATATTAGTTACTCATCACTGTGGCAAAATACTTGATGGAAGCAACTTAAAGGAAGGATTTATAGATTTATTTTGTTTCATGATTTCAGAGGGGTTGGTTCATAATCATTTGGCCACATGATCTCAGGCAGAACGTCAAGGCAGGGAAACATGTATCAGAAAGATGTTCACTTCGTGGTTGATGCAAAATCAGAGGGAAGATACATACAGAAAGATACCAGGGTTCAGAGAAAAATATAGCCTTCAAATACATAAACCCAATGGTCTCCTTCCTCCACCATGGGCCACATGCTACTTTTTATCATTTTCTGATAATTATAAATCCATCAAGGAACTCATTTATTCATCAGGTCAGAGTTCATGGTCTAACCTCTGGAACAACCTAACTCCCCTTCTGTAGTTTGAAATCAGGGTCTAATGTAGCCCAGGCAGATCTCTAGCTGGTTGAGGCCAGCATCAAACTGGAGTCCTGAGATTCCAGCTTCCCTGGTGGAGTGTCTAGGATTAGAGGCCTGTGTGCCTCTACCAAATCATTTGGATAGTGCTGGGAAATCAATCCCAGGCCTCTGCTATTGTAGGCTGGCCCTCTACTTTCTAAGCTATGTCCTTAGCACCCAATTGTCTGGGTGAATGCCCTGACAGACATACTTAGAGGTGTGATCTACTAATCCCTTAGGTATTGTATAATCCAGCCAAGATGACTCGTCAAATTATCTATCACTTACCTTCAGGTGAAAATTTCATGGCATGGATGACTGCTAGTTCATGTATAGTTAACAGATAATGTAAGATTATGATTAATTAATCAATATTATGACAAGTGTTTGTACAGTAGGCCAAAGGGATTGGTGTGAATATTTGTTTTCTATTGTAAATTAATATGATGCTGACTTAAATAACATTCGTGCATTAACCTACAATTCTCCAGGTTCTGCCCCATGCAGTTGGTCTGGGTTCTCAGTTAAGGGTATGTCAAGATTAAAAGAGTCATTTATCCACTGGACTCTCTGAGCAAAAGGACCTTCTAGACTTAACTGCGTTATTGGTAGAATCCAGTTCTGTAGCCTTGTTTTTCTCGGTAGTTATTGACTGGAGGTCATTGCCAGTGTCTAGAAGACATGCTTAGATCCTCTCTCTCGAAGGATTGGTTTGTCTTCACCCCAGCAATGAGCTGGCAGACTCCTTTTAAACCTTCAGACCCCTTTGCTGCTAGCTGGAAAATCAAAACTATTTCTGCTTTTGAAGGGCTGGCATGACTGGGTCCATCCATGTAATCTTTCCATTTTGACATCTACTCACTAATAAATTTAATTACACCTGCACGATCCTTGTTGCTAGGCAACACAACATAATCATGGGAATGACTGGGGTGGATGATGAGTACTGTCCTCTTAGTACACTATTCCTGATTATCACCAACTGTTGTTATCTTTGAACTATGTTACAACTCCTCTTAAGTCCTAGAAAATTAATAATAGTATAGATAATTCTTATTCACAAAAATGGAAGTAAAATGTGATTAGTAGACTGCAATAAATCATTGTTCCACAGATAGGCCACCTTTGCATCTATTTGTAAGTTCATTTCAGAATTCTTCATTGCCAATGTATATATATTTCTTTAAATTAATTAGAATGCCTTCCTGGTTCTCTCATTAAAATACTTTATGTATGAGTTAGAATTTTATTTGTTCAGAAAAATGATATTTAAGAACAATTCCTATATATTTGTAACTCTGGTGCCTCATTAGCCATCTTAGCTCTTATAAAGTTTGGTATTTTGAAAATTGAAACAAAACATTGAGCTGAATGGAAAAGACATTGTCATTTTGGGTGAAGATTCATGCTAATGCCTTGGAGAAGATATGGAAAGTCTTGGTTCTTTCAAAAAATAAACAAGATCAACAAATCCTTCAGCAAACTGATCAAAGTGGAGGTAACAAAAGAACTAAGACCCCAAAAAGTAAAATCAGAGATGAAAACAGGACTTGACACATATGAATGGAATCCAGGGGACTGTTAGTGAATAGTTTAGGAGCATATTCTAAGAAATGGAAGGATCTAGAAGAAATGGATGAATCACTAGACACACATGACCTGTCAAAATTAAACCAAAAGAACATCAACTACTTAAGCAGATCTGTAACAAGCAACAAGACTGAAGCAGTAATAAAGACTACCAAAAAGAAAATCTCAAGTCTATATGCTTTCACTGTGAATTCTAGCAGACTTTTAAGGAAAAGCTAATACTACTGTTCCTCAAACTGTTCCAAAAAACAGAAAGGGAGGCATGTTATAGTCCTCATTCTATTTTTCTATGGAGCCATTATAACCTTGGTACCAAACGCAGATAAGACAGAATGAAAGAGGGAAAACTATACACCCATTTCTCTTATGAAAAGAGATGCTAAATTTCTTAATAAAATACTCACAAACTGAATTTACAAACATATTAAGAAGATTACACATAGTGATCAATTTGTTTTCATTCCATAGACACAAACATCGTTTAATATATGCGAATCAGTGGCTGCAATGCAGCACATAAGTAACTTGACCACAGAACAGAAATCACACAGTTGTCTCAATAGATACACCAAAGTCCTTTGAAAAAGTCAGTACCCCCCCCCAGAGAAAATCCCAGTAGAAACCAGGAGTAAGAGGAATACACCTTAATATAATAAAGGCTGTAAGTGAAAAAAAACCTATAACCAACATTATAATAAATGTGAAAACCCAGAAATATGTCCTCTAAAGACTCATATTATATCACAGAGACATAGTAACAAAAGCATCACAGCATCGGCACAACACCAGACACCCATACCAATGAATAGAGGACCCAGAAACAAGCTCATGTAGCTACAGACATTTAAGTTTTTAAAAAACTGTTGAAAATACTGCTAGAAAATCAGTTTACACATGTAGAATTCCTGTTTCTCACCCTGTACAAAAGTCAATTCAAAATGAACGAAATTCAGGTTCTTACTACCAGATCTGAATTGCTATACTTACTGGAGGAAACCATGAAAGTGCTTTGAGATTTTGTGTTATTCACTCCTCAGTGACTGTGATGAAAACATTCCAACTGAAAGAAAATTAGGGGAGGAAATGGGTGAGTTTGTCTTACAGCTCCATCATTGAGTGACAAATGATAGTTCCTTCAATTAACTAACTTTTCAAAGTAAAAAAATGTGCCAGGTATGTATTTATGTATCCTTAAACAGTAGCCAGAGTTTTAGGGAACTTCTTAGAGTTACCAATGTCAAAAGGTCTCAGGCTATCATTTTGCTTCCAATGTTTTTGGATGTCACAGGTGATGTCATAACAGAAATTCTGTTTGAAGGCATATCTATGCCCAAAGTAGTATTTTAACGTTCTAAAACTCCCTGAGTAAGTGAAATTACTAGAAATTCTCTCTGTATGTAACAGTGTAGCTTTAAGGACATTAAGACTATTAGGAAGTCTCTTTATACATTAAGTGGTATACATGGAGGGAAAACACAAAAAAGTATTTAAATTTTGTTTTAGTTTGAATAGTGACAGCAATATACTAGATGTTTTGCGGGGAGGAATGCTTTTTTTTTAATGTCTTAAATTAGAGTCAGTGAGACATGGCTTACTTAGTAATGAGTGTTTGGTTGAAGTCTTTGTGAACTTGAGAAGAAAAGCACAAAGCCATACTTGGTTTTCATTCTGACTGAGAAAAGGAATTCTCATGACTCATTGACAGTTTTGCATCCATGGGAAAGGAAGAATAAGCCAGTGCTAGAGTCAGTACCAAGTGGGTAAAATAAATTGATGTCATAGGCTTGTGGGATTCCTTCAGCATGATAAATAATTTGTCACTTTGAGATCGAGTGAGTATCAAGCTCACCCTAACCCCTCTCATCCAGCTGTGTGGTTAAAGGCATTTAGCCATGTGAGATTGGGCCATAGTGTTAGAATCACAGACTTCTAAGTACTTTTAGCCTTCATAAGCAAACTACTTCTATTTAAATAAATTGTATAAATTTTATTTGTGTTACAGTCAAACAAGCCCTTAAGATATTTTCACTTTTGAAAGGGGCCTAGTGTGATGCAGAAAACATTTACAAACAAATCTGAGGGAGAATAAAGTCAATGGGCACATTCTTAAAAAAAAAATCAATGGCTACTGGCTGGAAATATGTGTATTTTAGAATGATATAAAGTTGTAATGGGATATACCTAGCATATAAATATTATCTATCTTTCCAAGATTATTTTCCAGTACCTTTTTTTTTTTTTTTTTGGTTTTTCGAGACAGGGTTTCTCTATAGTTTTGCGCCTTTCCTGGAACTCACTTTGTAGACCAGGCTGGCCTCGAACTCACAGAGATCCGCCTGGCTCTGCCTCCCGAGTGCTGGGATTAAAGGCGTGCGCCACCACCGCCCGGCTTATTTTCCAGTCCCTTTAAATAGGAGGATTCTGCCATGGATGCACTGAGATGGGTTTTTTTTAATCTTTTGCTTTGATAGATTCCTCATTTTTATTGTTGCATAAGGCGAAGTTTGAATTTTATTTATTTTAAAAGAATTTGAGAAATTTGTACAGAATGGCTGGATTTATAAAACAGGCTTCTAGCAAACATATCAGTTAATAAACTAAGAGAACACTCCCTTTACAGATATGCCTAAAAAACTGATAGAAAGACTTGATGGATGTGTTTTAAATGTGAAATTATTATTGTTTTTTTTTTATTTAGAAGACTTCATTGGCTTTTTGCACAAGGACAATGAGATTTAAGGTATAGGCTGTTGTTCTGTTAGACCCAAAGCAGGGCAACAGTAGAAGCTTGTTTGACTATGCACACCCAAATGAAAGCCAAAAAGATGGAGGCCAAAGCCTTACAGGGCCAAGGTAAACAGTAAACGGGGGAATTTGGTGTGTGCGTGTGGTGAGCATTAGGGTCAGCAGCTGTTAGGACAGGCTTTTTCTTTTTCTTCTTAAATAAGTTGATGTGAAGCATGGCCTTCTGCCCCTGAATTTCCCATGGGGCCTAGTATAGAACATGTTATTAAGCATGAAATGGTTGTACTGTAAAACTCAGGGCTGCTGAGGCCAGAGGGGTTTTAATGGGGACCACAGGAAGATAGTACAGTCCATGTTGCCTGCTGAGGGATTCATTTTCAACTTGAACATGGGCTGGAATTCATTCTCCTAGCCAAAAAGCAGTAGAATACAGACTTTCTCTGCAACTGCTACGGTTCTGGCAGAGTGGCAGACAGCGCTCAGAGAGGACTGGGTTCCTGGCTGCTCAAATAGAGACACAAGTCAGTCCCTGGTAATAAATACTGGCAGGAGCCATGTGAGCCGACAGCAAGAAATGAAACAGCCTTCGTGTTTAACTCTGTACAGTTGAGAAGACTACGCTAAAACCTGAAAAGCTGAGCATCTTCTACTCTTAGAAATAAATATGACACAAAGAAGTAGTGATCACAGGATAGAGGAGCTAAGGCTGTGAAGAACAGGGCATGTGCCACAAACAGGCAACACATCCAGTTTCCTCTGTGCTGCACCCAGACCGGCGCTGATCTCTGTAATATAGAATTTGAGAGGAATTTCCGCACTCAGTCTTCCTTGTTTGGTATATGTTCTTACCTCGGTGAAAATGAATTGTAAAACCATTTCTTTTCTTTTTTCTTTTTCTTTTCTTTTTTTGGTTTTTCAAGACAGGGTTTCTCTGTGTAGCTTTGTGCCTTTCCTGGATCTAGCTCTGGCTTCGAACTCACAAAGATCTGCCTGGCTCTGCCTCCTGAGTGCTGGGATTAAAGGCATGCACCACCACCACCCGGCGTAAAACCATTTCTTAAGTTGATGCTTTTCTCAAAGAGACTTGAAGCACAGAAACCTCCTAGGTAGCCTCAATGTTAGAAGTGTGAACCTAGCAATCAGTGGGCATGATGCTGTATTGGACTTTAGCACACCAGCACAGCTTTGTGTTATAGTGTATTCCTCTATGAAAGTGTATTCTTACAGAATGTGATCCATGAACAGTCAGTTGACAAACATGGTTATTCAATCAATATCTGATGACTATTCTCACAACCTCATATAGTAATTTATAGAAATCTTTTTCCTTTGAGGTTATCTCTAAAATAAAATATGATAAGGCTTCCCACTGATCTGTCAACATCTAAAAGAAAAAGCTAGCCAGTGAGATGGTTCATCCATGCCTCCGAACTTGACGATGTGAGTTCAGTACCCAGGGCCCTAGGTTGCAAGGAGAGAACTAACCCCTGTGAGTTGTCCCTTAACCTCCACACGCACATGTCCAAACATCTAAACACACACACACACACACACACACACACACACACACACACACACACACACACGGGGGGGGGGGCGCAAGAGAGAAATGAATGAGTGAATGAATGAATAAATAAATATATAATAAAGTTAAAAAAGTAGGATAAGAATAGATGCTTGATGACCCTGGAATTGAAAGTAAAAATGAGCTAGCTATTAATAAGCCTCCGAGGGTACTATTTGATGCAGTTTGATTACTCAGGCTCCAAGTTTGACACCACAGACAAAATAACCTTGTCAGTCACTCAGAGTCTGTGAATGTCAGATAGGCTAACTTCTGTTCTCTAAACACATAAGAGGCTACAAAATGCCAAATTTGTTTATTTACTCTTTTGTGACTAAGAATGGTTAGTCACAAGTGACACAAAAATCAAATGTCAAGTTACTTAAGCACAAAGAAAACACATTGATTCCGATAAGCTTTGTGGAATCAAATGTTTGAAAGTGTAGCTTCATTTGTAGATACACTGATAATATGATTGATTTTTGGTCTTCTTGAGACAAGGTGTCATGTAGCCCAGGCTGGCCTCACACTCCTTAAGCAGAGGAGAATGAACTTGAACTCTGTTTCTCCTGCCCTGCCCTCCCAAATGCTGGGACTAGAGGCATGCACCACCATTCCTCATTATGATCTCTGTTTTTAACTTACAAGATTAACTATTCACATCCAATATTGGAAGAGATAACTTCTCTCTCTCAAAATACTGAATTTTGTAATGAATTCCACAGGGTGAAATGAGGTCACCTCATTTAGCAGAGTAGAGAGATGGAATATACCAGTTCATATTACCCAGTCCTATTATTCAAGGTAAGGTCAGCCTGCTGACTGTGTGGGCTGACAGGAGGGATTAAATATTCCCCAAGGAAAAATTCCTGTGTTATTAAAAAGCAAAAAAGATGGAAGAGCAGGTCTATCATATTATGAGAAGCCTCGGGATAAAATACACTCCCCAGCATGGTCAGTATAGTCTTCTAGGCAAGTTAAACAGTGAATGTGAACAATTGGCATGGGGCCTTCTTTACTCTTCTCTAACTTACCTTTCCATATCTTGAACTTGTGATTAACACAGCCTCCTGAACATCATATAAATAAACCTGCTACAAGATGCCAGTGGATGTATAAAGAATAAGCATGTGTGAATGGGGCCTTGCAGTTCTCTTTCTTCTGATGCTCCTTGGGATGGCCACACCCATCAGATATAGTAGATCTTAATATGTGGTCCTGCAACCACCAGAAGGTGCTAGCATGTTTATTAGATATACAAATGCCCAGGACAACCTTTGCCCTCAAGAATCAAAACTCTGAGACTGAGGGCCAGCTACATTTTCTAGTTGATTTTGAAATGAACCGAAGTTTGGAAAACACTCGTTTCAGGGGCATTCCCAAGCTTCTAAGACTTCAAGCCTGCTCAAGTGGTACTGTTTTCTTCTCCCCCACCCTTTCCTTCTCTTCTCTTCTCCTCTTTTCTCTCCCCTCTCCTCTCCTTTCTCCCCTCCCCTCTTTTTCTTTCCCCTCCCCTCCTTTCCTTTTAGTTTTTGAGATAAGGCCTCCTGTAGCCCAAGGTGACCTTAAACTCTCTCTGCAGCCAAAGACAGTATTGGACTCCTGATCCTCCTATTTTTACCTCCCTAGGTATGGGATGTCAGAGATGGGCCTGCTTGAGGCAGTACCCATAGCGCCTTCTGTCCGCATGCCGGGCTGGCACCCTACCACTCTCAGGCACATCAGGCTTAATGGCCCTGCTTCTGAGTGGC